CTCGGAAATGCTTTTGTTCTGAATATGCTAGCCGCGGAACTGTAGCTCTCTGAGTAAATGAAAGTGAACGTAATTCGAAAGCTGCATGAATCTCTTCTACAACCTTCTTACAGACATATCCTACATCATGCTTTCACATAAACAGAAACACTATCACATTAACAGTAAGTCTATTACATTAACGGGAAATGATTTACATAAACAGGAACTCTTTAATATTATCAGGAACTCTATTTTATTAACAGGAAATCATAACATTAACAAAAACTCTATTTCATTAACAGAAACTCTATTACATTAACAGGAACCTATTACATTAACAGGAACTCTATATCATTAACAGGAAATCTATTACATTAACAAGGGCTTTGCGACATTTACAGGAACTGTACTACATTAACTGGAACTTTATCATATTAACATGAACTGTATTACATAAACAGGAACTATATCACATTAACAGGAACTCTATTACACTAACTGAAACTCTATTGCATGAACTGGAACTCTATCGCATAAATAGGAACTCGGTTACATGAACTGGAGCTCTATTACAGTAATAGAAACCTTATCTCTATTACAACTTATAGTAGTTACAACAGTTACTCTATTACATTTACAAAAAAACTCTATCACATTAACGGAAATTCTATTACATCAACAGGAGCTTTATCACATTAACAGGAACATTATTACTTTAACATTAACTCTAGTTCATTAACAGAAACTCTAAAAAAATAACATGAACTTTATTAAATGAAGAGGGACTCCATTATCTAAGTAACTCTTTTATATAGACAGTAGCTCTTTTACTCGAATGAGAACTCTACTGCATGAACAAGAACTCTATTACATTGACAGGAACTCTATAAGATTGCTCAGAGGGAATGGGACATTGAGGCTGAGAAGACAAACTGTAAGTAATAAAGTTCAAAAGCCCCCTATTATGACAGATAACTCTTATATTAATAAGTGTTTGGTTGTTTTCTTTTCTTAGATCAAGTATTTCTTTTTTTCAGTTTATGAATAATTTAATTAAAAAAAATATTTTAATCGGAAAATTTAAAAAAAGTAAAGTTTACATAGAGATCAGATACAAGGAAAAACCCATTCTTGCAATGAATCGAAAAGCCTACTTCTAAAACTTCCTCTGAAATGAAAACTCAAAGAGTTATTTCAATTGTTCGATATCAAGCGTCCGTCTGCGCCTTGCTCTTTAAAAACACAGCTAAACCAAATAATAACAACCAAAAAAAATCAAAATTATTAAAATTCTTTATTCGGGACAAAATATTGCAGTTGCTCATTTTTTTCCACATTTTCCAATAAATTTCTTCAGATTTAAGTGTTTCCACCCTCGCACATTTATAGGTTCAAAGTACAAAAACTGCATTTATGTTCATTATTATGCATTACATTTTCCAATTATTGAAAAAAAAAAATGTATAGCTCACCATATTATTTAAGATGCGAAACATAAATGAATAGAAGCGTATGTCAACACAAAAAATCACAATTTTTTGTAAACAGTATTGGTTAAAATGCATAATTCTGATGCTGAATGTCCCTACATACTTCCTACTTAAAAGATAATTTTGAATTGTGAATATCAGGGAAACTATTTCACAATAAAGCAAATGATTTATGAATAAAATGAATAAAGAGACCTTAGAAGGAGTTATTGCCCTTGTCAACATTTTTTAAAGATTAAAAAATCGATTAAATATAGAATAATTGCATTATCTAAATTCTTTAACTTAACAATATTTATCATTATACCAATTGTAAAGCATTCTTCCAAGATATAGTGTTCTATTAAGTATGAAATTAAACTGATTACAGTTTTTGCAAAAACCTATGACATCATCTTCCCTGCTCCTGGGCATTAAATAAACCAACTAATTATATAGTTATGATGAGCAAGAGTGCCTCTACCAAAATTGTCAATGTTATGGCCCCAGGGCCATGGGTTCTGGTGTTAGGGCAGGCCTCTATTGATTATATAGTGAAAATACATGAATTCTTTGAAAATCTTCTCTGCTCCTGGGTATTAGATCAACTAACTAAATGCATAGGTATGAAGAACAAGAGTACCTCTACTAAAATTGTGAATTCTATGGTCCAAGGGTCAGGGGTTCTGGTGTTAGGGCAGGCCTCTATTGATTATATAGTGAAAATTCATGAATTCTTTGAAAATCTTCTTCTCTTCTCCAAGGTATTCAATAAAGTTACTAAGTGCATAGTTATGATGAACAAGAGTGCTGCTTCCAAAATTGTGAATTTTATGGCCCCATGATCAGGAGCTCTGGTGTTAGGGCAGGGCTATATTGATTATATAGTGAAAATACATGAATTCTTTGAAAATCTCCTTCTCTGCTCCTGGTAACTAAATAAACTAACTAAATGTATAGTTATGATGAACAAGAGTGCCTCTACCAAAATTAAGAATTTTATGGCCCCAGGGTCAGGGGTTCAGGTGTTAGGGCGAGGCTCTTTTGATTATATAGTGAAAATACATGGTTTCTTTGAAAAATTTCTTCTTTGCTCATGGGTATTAAGCAGATGTACTACCTATATACACCTGTAGTTATGAGAATACCTCTTTAAAAATTATGAATTTTATGGTCCCAGGGTCAGGGATTCTGGTATTAGGGCGGGGCTCTATTGATTATAAAGTGAAAATACATTAAATCTTTGAAAATGTTCTTCTCTGCTCCTGGGTATTAAGCAGATGAACTACTTATAAAGTTATGATGAGCAAGAATTGTGAATTTAAAGGCCCCAGGGTCAGGGTTTCCATAGAGAGGGGGGCTGTACATATATACTGAAAGTTAATGAATTGTTTGAAACCTGCTCTTTTGTAGTAATCATATATTTTTGAAAAGCAAGAATACCTGTACAAAAATTGAGCAATGTGTGGATCTAAGCCTAAGGGTTAGGGGTTCATGTGTCGTAGGGATATACTGATTATTGCTGAATATTACTGATTAGTTGAAATGGATTTTTTGTTTCCCTACCCTGCCTATGTGTATTAAGTAACCTAACTAAGCAACTGCTAAGTGTATAGTTATGATGACCAATGGACCACAAGCTCTTTCAAAATTGTGAATGCCATTGCATCTGGCTTAAAATATGAATCAAATTCAATCACTGGAAAGTTGTTTTATAATGCTCAGGTGACCTATCAGACCCATGGGCCTCTTGTTTGAAATGTGGTCTCATAATTGTTATTTGCAATTTTATTGATAAAGGCTAGTGCTCGTGATGAAATTTTTATTTGCAAAGACTGTTTAAAATATGAGACTATTCTTTCCAAAACTAATGAATCGGTGCGTATATTCCACTTTTTCTTACTCGATGTCTTGTTTTGCAATTTTGTTCTTTTTTAATACTTACACTATCCCAAACGTAGGTAACAATCAATTTAAATAATTTAAAGAACAAGGTATACTTTCAATAGGCATTAAGCCCTGTATTTTTCAAAAATGATGAAAGTGATACAAGAAACCAAAACTGTTTCTTTCTGAATCCTAGGGATTTACAACAGTAATAAAACATAAATCGTTTTTCTCATATGACCTCCTAAATGCTTATTGTGACGTAATTAATTTGTGCATTTTCCCGTATTTTCCTAAAAAGTTACAGAATGTTCAGTAAAATCTTCTTTCAGAAAACATAATCTGCCACCGTCTCCCACAAAGATATTCAGATATGTGATTTTGCAAAGCAGTTTACATGATATATCAAAATATTGAAGCGGGCGACGGTTGCAGACACTATTTTCTAACGGAAAATAAGCATAGAAATGAGTTATTCTGACGCATTTCTGCATTAAACTTAGAAATGTTTCAAATAAGTGACGTTATATTTCCAGAATGGTCCTCTTACATGCCATATTCTTTAATGATCTATCAAATTCATATACTCAACTATTGTAAAAGACAATTTCATAACTTTTAATAACATGATATTTTTAGGGCACAATAAAGCCCAAACCGTACCTTCGTCTTTGATTTTCGCTAATGACAGGTTTATTGCCTGGTATTGAAAGTTTGTGGCCTTAAAAATGAAAATGCATAATAATTGTTGTAACCGTTTTGTCCTGGAACAATAACATCCATTAAAACAGATGGATTAGTGGTTAATATTTGCTCATCCATTCACAATACTGCTGTCCTGCAGACCATAGGGGGTAAAGGAAGATAGTGATGGTGATTCAAAAAACTGATTGAATTGAAGGAGATGGAGTATGTTTTACAAACAAATAGATTAAGTGTATTGCCAAAGATGAACTTCATAAATGCCTTCTATTTTATCTTAAACTATTTAATTCAATGAAACCTGTCTTATTCGACATGCACGTGGAAACAAATAACAAATAAACAAGGTGTAATTCTGCAACGTTTAAAGATCATGGACAAAAGTTGAAATCAGAAATGAAATTGAATGGCAGAAATCACATTGAAGGTGCTGCACTTGCGTTTGAATAAACAGGTTCCATCGTAATCGCTTTTTAAATAAAGCAATCCTCACCCTACTTCTCTGTCTAGACATACTTATTTATCTTTGTTTGGAAATAAGAACAAAATATTTATAAATTCAAATTTATTACAACACATATGATTTACATCTTTTACTAAACACATTCAGTAGAAAAAAAATACAATAATTTATCGCTTCAAAGAATTGTTCAACACCCTTCTTTTACAGAAAAAATATATTTTAAGAAGTTTGCCACTTGATGTTCAACTTTTTTTTAAAAAAGAACATCGCGATAAAGATTATCTAAAAATCCTTTTTTGGATATCTTTCATCTGTAAAAAGGAATTAAATTAATGTTTCACAGAAATATTAGCATATTTTCTAAAACAAAAACCAATTGAATTTTTTACGGAAATACAAAAAAGTCTGGTCATTAAGATTCAATGAGGTTTACCTAGTGACGTCTGATCATCATTTTGGCCCCTTTTATAGAATATCCATTACTTAATTTAGGATACCATGGCCATTCCCAAAATGCCGGGTACCAGGGACCGTTAAGGAAGCCCTGGTGACAGTAGTTAAACCACCAGCCTCCTTTTTTGTTACTGCCAGCAGCACAATTACCACCACTAGCTTTGTCATTATCTCTGTTTTGGTTACTAAAGTACATCCCAGACAGATCGTGAGTAGAATCACCAGTGTCTAACAAACTGTCACCTGTAAAATTTACCGAAAGAAATCACATAGATAATTCATTTATATATCTTCAATCTAATCGTTCATAATAACACTGAGGTGCTTCTCAGATAGACGGCCTTAAATAGCTATAATATTTATTTAGTTTGCTCCTTGAATTTCCAATGTCTGTCATCCTGGTTCCTGCATAATTAGAGAAAAATATATAACAGAGATAATAAGGACTAATTATTCATTTACGTCACATTAATGTTAATACTGAAGTACATCTGAGATACACAGTTTAACGTGTTGTTTCCTGCTAAGAGAGATAAAAATAATACAAAACAGAAACAAAAAAACTGCACAATTCACATAGCATCCTTTCTAGTGTAACAATAAACAACAGACGTGTTACACTTTTAAGCATGGTATTATTGGGGGGGGGGGGATAAAGGTCACTGGGAATTTAATAAAACATGAATAAATGAATTTTGTTGTCTGAACGAGACAGTGCCTTTAAAAATGTATATAATGAAATACAAAGTAATTCATTCAAAATTATAAAGAGACAAGTTATTATGTAGCTGTAAATGTTTTAAGATAGTAGATTTTCATTACATAAAGCATAGTCATTGTAAATGTGAAATGCTTTTTTTTCGAATATTTATCCAATGAAATATTTTTTTTATCATCAAGTTCTCTTAAACTTCTCTACATTTAAGATAAGTGAGGCTGTGTAAACTTCCTATTCCGTAGTTATAAAAAATGTGAATTATTGAAAATCGTGTGATTTTCATTTAATACAGAAAATTTATAGTAAATGTGAAACACATTGAGGTTTTTGAATGTAGCTTTTTTTCTAATTTGAAAATGTTTCTGATCAAATAATTTTCTTTAAACGTGAATTATCTGCGAAGATGTCGACATTATGAATCAATTACTCTCTGTAAACTTTTTTACCGTAGTAGTTAAAATGTTTATTATTAAAAAAATTCAGGAAAGCCAAACTGAATAACAATGTTTGAGCAACATTAATTGCTCGATTTGTTTCTTAAAAATAATCTAACATAATAATCCTTTTCTTTAAAATCTATAGTTTGAATTTTTAGCAACTTGAAAATAACAAATTCAATGCCTGCTGAATACATGAATTGTACCTACAAATGATATTTTGAAATATTAAACATTTTTTTTGTTAGCGTGAAATCAAAACATATTATAAATATCAGAAGAAAAAACGTTCCCTTTAATTTAATTCCACAACTTAATACTCTTTCAATAAAGTAAAGAATTATCATGATTCCATACTAATTTGAAACAAATTTTGTGGAACTTTACGCAGATACACTAACCTAAAGTTCCCGAGGCAGGTCCTGCAAGAAAGAGTTGATATTTCCCTGCTTCGTCGGAGACAGAAAATCCGTCGTACATTTCATACAGCGTTGTACCATTCTGGAGAGTGATGGACACATACAGGGATGAAATGCTTTCTTTCGTTAATTTGTGAATTACGTCATTGCCTGTATTAAGATATATGTGAAATCATCTGAAAGGTTCATTGCAATACCATTCATTCTATATTAAACAAACAAAATCAAATCATTGTCTTTAGCTGTAAACAATGCTAAATTTGGTCTCATAAACATATACCGCTAAACGGTTTTCTTCTTTCCTTTTGTAATTATTTAAATAATAATTAAACACAATATTTGAAAATCGAAGAACATATATTACCTAGTCTTAAATTCAGATCTTATTACGCTTTATTTTTTTTTTACCTGCCACAACTTTTTTATCTTCATTTTTTGAAAGAATAAAAGTTCCTATTGAAAGTGATTTACACTTACCAACCCAGTTATCCTGTTCTGGGGCACCAAAACCATTTTTATATTCCGTCCAGGTCCTGTTAAATCTGAGGGATCCAGTTACTCGTTTTTGGATTGCCTTTAAAGTTAAAATATAGCAAATCATTGTTTTAAATAGTTTTGCAATCAATGTTTTTATGATATAAACTAAAGATTCATATCAAAAAACATTAAATGTGAAGTAAATTGTACAATATACTCTAATATTGAAATAGACTACATACCGTCCACCCCCCGCCCATTGTTGTCATGTCACAGTAAACACGGACAGGACTGGTAATGTTTCTGTAAGGATAGATGTCGTACACCCCTGAATCTGTGTATCCATAGGTTTGAAGATCCTTACAGTCTCTTGGAATAACTGAATCAGAAAAAAACAATCTACAGGAATACCAAAAAAAAAAACAACTTTCAGAACACTTATTTCAAGATAGAAAATACAAGTTTTTAGTTTGAAGTACATCTCCTTTTATGTACTTTTTAGTCAATTACAAACTGCATTTTCCTTATGGTCAATAATGATACAAATGTACAGCTTTATTCCTAAAATGAATTTCATTAATGCATTATCAAGTTGTTTATTCGATCTTTTTTTCCTTTCTTTGTTATTTCCTTGACAGTAAAAATTGATTTTTTTTTTCAAGAAATAGAAAAGACGATATTGGAGTAACAAAATGATGTTCCGTCATTTGCAACTACACCAGTCATTCAAAATAAAAGTAAATAAGAAATTGTTTGTTAACAGTCAGAACTATTACTTAGCATAAATTATGTTTTGATGCAATTAAGTTTTAAGGATAAAACAGCATTGTCTCTGAAATGATCGTGAACAGTACTTTTTTTCAACGTCTTCTTCCCAAACAATGGTAGAGGGCTTGTTCCGTGATCGGGAAGAATAATGAGTTCAAATCCGGCCACAGCTGACCAAAATTGATAAATAAATAGGTAACAACCGTTCCTTTGAAATAAACTCTGGTCTTTTATATAATATATTGCGTGTCCCTCTTGCGAGACCTTTTAAAACTTGGCCTGTGTGCATGTCTGGTAAGAAATAGATTTCTAAAATCAGTATTCATATTTTTGTAATTTACATATCAATGAAAATTAAAATTGAGAGAGAGTAAAAGTTAAAAGTATTTTAAAGAAAGAAATGGTTAATTTACCTCCTTTGACGATTTGAACATCTTCATTGGTCTTGGTTACATCCCCCTCGAGTTTCTTCACCATCTGTCCCAGGGATTCTACAGATTTTTGGATCCGCTCCTGTTGGATGAGAAGTTCTCGGATTTCGATCATTGTCTCATAATAACTGTCCCAGCGATTGTTTTCTCTCGAATAAATGTTCTGGGAAGCTGTACACAAGAAGCTGCAAGCAAGGAAGGCTGCCCATACCATTGCCATGTTGAACTTTCTTACTGCTGTTTTAACGAATGTGTTTCTGAAATAAATATTTTGAGAATATATCCACAGCTTTATACATAAGCCTAAACGCGGAAGATAAAAATTTAATCAATAAAATAAGTCAATAAGCTGAACCCCTATAGGTTACTTAAATATTGAGCGAAAATTTTTACATTTATGGTATATTGGTTGAATTAAGATAAGTTTATCAAGCATGGACAAGGGGCGTAATATTAGAGAATAGGAGGGCCTCTAACTCCATTTATTCTAGCCATGTGATTTTAAAATAATTATAAGCTTTCCACAAGTTTACATACTACAGCATATTCAATACACAATGAATTTCTTGGTTTAGCCTGTTCTTGTTACAGCACTGTTATATTATAATTTTAATGATCACTTAAAACAACAAGCCTCGTAAACATAACTTTTAAAGAAAAAATACCTAGTTAATGTATTGATTATTTATAAATAATCTGATATCTCCTGTCTGTCTTTTTGTACAGTAAAAGAGAGTGTTTTGCCTCTTCAACAAAAATGTTTTTAGAGAGAACTAATTGAAGCTAATCAAAATGGTCACTACAAAAGCTAATATTAATAAAAGGCAGTTTTTTGCATTATTTAATTTTAGCGATCTCAGCACCCTCACTGAAACTGCCAAAGTTAATTCCTCGCTAAATATATTTTTATACAATATTTTGATACAATCTCTCCTCCTGCCCCAGGAAAATTTCCAACACTATATGACAACAAAAGCAGATTTCTCCCTCACAATCAACTTAAAAAAGGAAAAGTAATTTCAAGTAAAACGAACAAAGTACTCCTAATTTTAAAGACAATAAACCTGTGTAATAAAGACCTTGAAAAATAGTTCAGAAAATGACTTAAGGAAAAAAATTAATTTAAAGATGCTTATTCATTTATGGTCTGAAAAAATATTCTGGGTAAAATAATGTCTAGGGTTTGAAGCACCTCCTTCATTCATATTAAAATCTCATGCTTCATTTTTTCAGATAAGGATTTTGAGTTTGAATACAATTGTTTCCATATCTTGCATAGTTGATCTGTATAAATGATTTGACATAAAAATCTTCCATAATAATTGTTCCATTTTTTTTAACAGACAAACTTCCTCATATACTAGTATTACAATGTCATTAGCCTTTAACTATACATTATTTACAGTAAAAATGAAACAACAATTTGTGACTTGACTCTTTTTAGCAAATTCCGGGGGGGGGGGTGGTCCTTTACCTCCACAAGGATCTGCCAATGCCATACATATAGTTATCAAAGTTCCTGTGATTATAAATTGTTGTACATTAAAATACACTAAACTTTACTTCCCTTTTTTGCTTTTTATTGTTTATTATCCAAAAAACTTTACTGTTGGAGATACGCACGAGTCGACAGCAAAAAGAAACATTAACTCACTTGCTAAGAACTCATAGGGGTATATATCATTATAATTAGTGTCTTAAAAAAATTAAGCGGAATACAGCGAGCGTATCAAGATAGGAAATTTAACTTGAATGTTTTACAAACCATATTCGGATGGAAATCTGTTCCTTATGAATACAGTGTCCTATTTTGTTTTTCGTATCAAAATAAAGCAGGAAGCACGACCGACAGCGAGTTTCTTTGTATAACTCTTCCAAATAGACTGAATTTGATTTCGGAAAAAACAGACGGAAACAGAGCACTTAAATAAGAATGAATAATGTCATTTATTCTTATTTTTCATGAAGAAAATGTATGTACGAAGCAGAGTGTCTCTCATACATAATTTACTGAGGTTATAATACATGTTGTGCTAAGAGAAATCATAATCCCCTCATTGTTTAGCATACTATACAATGAATGCCTTCAAATACACAAAACAGGATACAGAAGGAATATAAAGATTATGCAACACATGCATATCTAACAACACACGAATGATCCTTCAGTAAACACTTATCTAAATATGACTGCCATCACGAGGAAAGGGCCCTTAAGGTCAAATTTTCATAAATTGACTTTTTAGTTTATTTTAATCACCGAACTCTTTCTTAATGGAGATATACATAAATTTTGAAATTATCTCACCTTTTCACTATTTAATATGCATTTTAGTGAGGCAAACCAAAACAACAATTAATGAAGTTACTTAGCTTTAGATCAAGTTTAATTTTTGTCCACTTCAATGTCTTTTTATAAAACTGTGGGTTTTTTTTAATTTTAGAAGGAACCAGATTACTGGTGGTAGGGGACTAGTATTGCTTATGAAACACTTTCACGATGCTTTAAACTTTTAGATTTTTTATAAATTCCTTAATTATTCAGTACCTAAAATGAATTCTTAATACTTCGAATCTTATTGTTTTCAAAGGTAGATAAACAGGGGACCGATGGTACTTACAACATAGATGCAGAAGATCCGGCCAGTAGTAACTGGTTACGATTCGTTAATTCTCCCGCCAAATATCAACAGGAAACGTCATTCCTATCACGTGCAAGGGCATCATCTTCTATATGACGTCACATGACGCAGAGCCGGATGAAGAGCTTTTGGTCTGGTATGGTGATGGATATAGGAGATTTTTAGGCGCAAACTGCATACATCCGGGTAATTAAACAATACTTTTTATGGCTAATTGTTTACACCCGATATTTAAACAGTCTAATTATCAGATTATTTTACCATACATAATGTGGTCACAAAAAATATTTTTCATACATGCTGTCGATTCTTAGGAGGTTTTAAGGAGTAAACCACATAATTAAACAATTTATTCATAATATGCTTTCCTTTTTCTCGCATGAATGCAATAGTATTTTTTTTTATCAAATTGCTCTAATTTGCATTTGATTAAAAACTAGAAACTCCTTCATCAAAAATTATGTAGATTATATTTAAACACCTTTGATAAATAGTGAGATTTTTTTTGCATTTTTCATTAAAACTTTTAGGTTAAAAAACTTCAAATTAAATCTGCAAAATACGTTTTCGCCATTTATTAAATTTGATAGTTTCTAATTTCATCTGAAAACTTTATTTTAGAATCAAACACCACCTAAGGGTACTTTTTTTACTTTGTTCTTCAAATTGAAATATAGTTTGGCCTATATTTGCTCATGCTCGTTAGATAATATATATTCTATTGTTACATTTGCCACGACGCTAAAAAAAGGATTCATTCCATTTTAAGGTCTATTGAATTTGGATACAGCAGTTCAATTTGTTTAATTTTTTAGAGCATGCAGGATGTAAAGCAGCAAATCATATTGTATCGGTGGTGTTTCAAACTTGAGGATAATTTAATTAATTTTTTTTCTTGTCATTTTCTGCAGAAGTTGATCTAAGCGGTTCATTTGCATTTCGTGCCAATGTTTTGACATTTGACGACAATGAAAGACTCATTTTTGATAATTGGACACCAGTGACGTATCAGAACTGGAATTCTAACGATGAGGGCGAGACAGCAGTTGACCCAATCTTTGGCCTCCTTTTGACTTATCATAACGACGGCAGGTGGCGCTGGGTGACTGAGAGGAACTACACGTACTATACAGGAGAAGACGGACTAAAACTCCCCTTTATTTGTGAGGATTCTCCATTTTATTTGGAGCATGAAGAGTGTTCTGTTACATAATGATTTATTCTCTTTTAATTAAGGTCTTCCGCTCAGGCGGAAGACCTTCTACTGATTCTGATGGTTAAGATTATTCCTATTATTCTTTTTTTTTACTAGACGCCAACTTTGAGACCTCGTAAATCGCTCATTTCTTAACGGATTTCGTTCAAATTTTCAGAGTTTTTGGACGTTACAAAACTCAATTTAAATGTTTTCATACATTTCAGAAATTCCCTTCCCCTTTTGAGTTATTTCCCTTTAAATGAAAATTCGGTGCTGTTTGTTTCGAAACAAAGGCTCAGAAACGACAAAAGCTGAAGCAGAATGTCTACTGCATTTACATACTAGAAGAATTGAAGTTGTGCACATCGGTTTTTTTTTTTTTCGTTTTCTGCGTTCAAAACGGTGCTAGAAAGTGGTCAAATATAAGAATGCCTAAAAGCGCAAAAATTTACATCTATTTCCTTATGTATCTTTTAAACTAAAAGTAATTTGTTAAGACATGTTGAACAAATATTGTGCATAATTTTAAGCTCTATCATTTAACATCATTAAAAAGGGTCTGGCCCCTCAAATTAGGGGCCAAGGGCGCTCGAAAGTTTTTGCTTTATAACTTAAAAACGGTAAATATTTCATATGGTTATCGATTTAAAATGGGTTCTTTAGCATCTTATTGATCTCATGAAAACGTTATTTTGTTCAAGTCATGTTTTATTACATGAGCAAAAAAACGTTATAGTCCATGTACAGGTAAGTGATTTTATACGGCAAGTGAAGAAGAATTCTATATGCGTACGTGTATAACACGTATAACTGAAATTAACTGGATAAGAATAATATACCTAGCTAAATTGAATGTTAAACTTTGTTGAAATAAGATTTTTAAAGTATTCTCTAGCTGGATGTCATACAGATTATTCAGAGACAACTTTCTCCCTGTGTTTAGTGTAAAGAACAAGATGGGAGAGAGAAAAAATATTTTTAAGTATTAATATTGAATATAGCATTAATTTATTTATTTAAAAAAAAAATTCAAGCTTAAGATAATTCACTGTCATTCAATTCATGCATCGTGAATTTTCCTCGGACCCTGAAAGTTTCGTGTGTACAGTGTGTGTGTTTTGTGTGTACAGTTATTACATGGTTATGGAACCCGTTTATCGATCGCGCATTGACCTGTATACACATTACCGCTCTTTGATTTTTACTAGAGTCTTAGATTTAAGATCAAGAAAACATGTCATTTGCGCTAATCGTAGGAATATTTCTATGCACAAATTTTAAGGTTTTCTTGAACATGATTTAAAAGTGTTGAATGTCGGATTATCTTCTTTGACGAATGAATAAAAGACCTGTGCTGCGTTTACGCGCGCTTTTCTCATC